GACTTGGGCCTTGGGAGCGATTCGTTCGTTGATGACATTAGTTTAGTATTAACTGCTTGGTGATAGTATTAATGGTTAATCTATGGTTAATCTATGGTTTATCTATGGTTAATCTATGGTTAATAATGGTTAATCATTGGAATAACAATATATCTGCTTGGTGGTTTGGAACATGAATTTTATATTTTTCATGTCATATATGGGATGTCATCCTTCGTGCTGTCCATCGACATGTGCATGCAGAAAATCGAGGGAAACTTGGCCTGTTCCAAGGCGTTTCAATTCTGGATGAACCAGATCGCCACTGGGCAGATATGTGGCATGGGCGGGAGCCCTCCCTGCGAGACCTTCACAGCGGCGCGGGTGCTTGATGATGGGCCCCCCCCTCTTAGATCGGGCACGTGGCCACTGGGGTTCCCAAACTTGAAGCTCCGCCCATGGCAGCAGTGCATGATCGGTTCCCGACTGATCCGATTCCTGTTGGAGGCAATCATATGCCTCGCCAACACCGGCGGTACAGGCTTTCTAGAGCACCCACAATTTCCACTCTGGGCTGTCCATAAGGACCCTGCCAGCATATGGCAGTCCCGAGAAGTGCGCATGCTTCGAACCCTCCAGTGTATTGGCATCACATCGTTCGATCAATGCATACTAGGAAGCCCAGCCACTAAGCCGACCACAATCCTGCACCTGCGAATGCCAGGCCTACGCCGTCGGTTGCTCACCACTGGCCTCAGTGGCCGCTGCAACCACGGCACAAAAGCCCATGATCGCATGTCCGGAAGGGACGACTACGGTGAATTCAAAACTGCACGAGCAAAAGTGTACCTCCGGGCTTAAACAGGGCCATCGCAGAGGGGATCTTTGAGTTCGTGCAGAGCACATTCTCTGGCCACAACACTGGCTCAGAGCTGCCCACGGGCTTTTCCCATTTTGCAGCTGAGATTTTCGCTCCCCTGGATGTCATCCAACCGGACTACCACGGGTAGCTGTACAGTCAGCCGCATTTTGGGCGCCGCATGAGACCGAGCGCAATGACGCGCAGCATCAGGAAAGTGAAAAGTGTCATCCTTCCCATTGACGAAGTCCATCATTTTTCAGAGGGGTAGGTCAACCACCAGGAAGCGTTCGAGGGAATTGGTTCCTGGATTTGGCAGACTATTATTACTTTTTTTTTTCCTGGGGGGGGTGGCAGACTATTATTACTTTTTTTTTTCTCTGGGGTGGGGGGGGGGCCTTATGATTATTATTTTTTTTATTCCTTTCTTGTCCTTTCCGGGATTGCCACTAATTTAGTCTACGGAAGCTTTTTCGTGCATTGAAATTAGTCTTGTGAGGCTTTCCTGTCCTTTCCGTTTTTTTTCCCCTAGACTAACTATATATGCAAAAAAAAAGTTCCCTAGACTAAATATATCTTCAAAAAATAATTCGTAGACTAAATATATATACCAAAAAAAACCGTAGATTAAATATATACTAAAAACAAATCCCCTAGACTAAATATATTTTCAAAAAAAACGTAGACTAAATATATATTCAAAAAAAATCCGTAGACTAAATATATATTAAAAAAGAAACCGTTGACTAAATCTATCTTCAAAAAAAATCCCTAGACTAAATATATCTGCAAAAAAAATCCCCTAGACTACATATATCTTCAAACAAAAATTCTCCAGACTAAATATATCTTTAAAAAAAAATCCGTAGACTAAATATATATACAAAAAAAAATCCGTAGATTAAATATATACTCAAAAAAATCTAGACTAAATATATTTTCCAAAAAAAGCCCGTAGACTAAATATATATTCAAAACAAAATCTGTAGACTACATATATCTTCAAAAAAAATCCCTAGACTAAATATATCTTCCAAAAAAATCCCTAGACTAAATATATCTTCCAAAAAAAACCCTAGACTAAATATATATTCAAAAAAATCCCCTAGACTAAATATATCTTCAAGAAAATTTCCCTAGACTAAATATATCTTCAACAAAATTCCCTAGACTAAATATATCTTCCAAAAAAATCCCTAGACTAAATATATCTTCCAAAAAAAATCCCTAGACTAGATATATCTTCAAAAAAAATCCCCTAGACTAAGTATATCTTTCCAAAAAAAATCCGAGACTAAATCTATATTCCAAAAAAAATCCCTTGTAAAAATTTCAAGGACCTTCAAACATCGATTTTTCCCTTTTGAAAAGTGCTTCTTTTACAGGGTTTGGTGCCAAATCTGGACCCCTGGGCCTTTTGAAGCTCCAAAATCAAAATATATCCAAAAAAATCACCTAGACTAAATATATCTTCAAAAAAAGTTCCCCTAAACTAAATATATCTTCAAAAAAAATATCCCTAGACTAAATATATATACAAAAAAAATCCCCTAGACTAAATATATATACAAAAATATCCCCTAGACTAAATATATCTTCAAAAAAAATCCCTATACTAAATATAGATTCAAAACAAAATCCGTAGACTAAATATATCTTCAAGAAAAAATCCGTAGACTAAATATATATTCAAAAAAAATCCTTAGACTAAATATATCTTCAAAAAAATCCGCTAGACTAAATATATCTTCACAAAAAAATCCGTAGACTAAAAAAAGTAATACTAATTGGCCGCCCCCCCCCCTCCGAAGAAAAAAAGTAATAATAATTCAACACCCCCCGGCCCCCGTCACCCGTTCCGGGAGCTATTTCTGCCTTTCAATTCGTCTCCGGGAGCTTGTTCTGCCACTAATTTAGCTTACGGCAGCTTTTTCGTGCATTGAAATTCGTTTTCTGAGGCTTTCCTGTCCTTTCCGGGAATTATTTTTGCTCTGAATTTAGTCTCTGGGAGCTGTTTCTGCCATTGAATTAGTTGCGGGAGCCTTTTCTGTCACTAAATTCAAATTTCCGGGCGCTTTTTGTTGCCATCCAGGGCCTTTTCTGCCTTTAAAGTAGTCTCCGGGAGCTTTTTCTGCCACTAAAGTCCGCTTCCGAACGCATGTTGGTGATTCCGTGGGGGGGAGGGGGTTTGTTCAATTATTATTGTTTGAAATCATAATCGTTGCCCGCCCCCCCCCCCCCCCCGCCCGAGAAAAAAAAAGTAAGAAATAGTACTGCAACCACTGCTGCTGCCACCCGATGGAAACAACTTCCAGTGATGGGTGGCTAGTACACTGCCACAAACCCGGTTGCGGCTGACAGCTTCGCACTTTGGGCAGAGTCTTGAGCAAACGGTGTTGTTGAAAAAAAGGTCCAAGTTCTGGTAATAGCAGTAGTAGTCGGAGCAGAAGTAGTAATAGTAGTAGTAGTACTAGTCTTAGTCGTAGTAGTAGTAGTACTAGTCTTAGTCGTAGTAGTAGTAGTAATAGTAGTAGTAGTAGTAGTAGTAGTCGTAGTAGTAGCAGTAGTAGTAGTAGTAGTAGCAGTAGTGGTAGTAGTAGTAGTAGTAGTACTAGTCGTAGTAGTAGTAGTGGTGGTAGTGGTAGTACTAGTAGTAGTAGTAGTAGTAGTCGTCGTCGTCGTCGCCGTCGTCGTCGTCGTCGTCGTAGTAGTCGTAGTAGTAGTCGTAGTAGTAGTCGTAGTAGTAGTAGTAGTAGTACTTTGGTGCCAGCTCGGACTTATAAGTGGGTTATAACCGAGGGTTATATCCCAGTTACTAAGTCATAACTTCTTAGCTAACTTTTTGTAACTTTTTTTTGCTATAAAAAAAAGTGTCTTTAAAAGTGATCAAATTTTGATCTTTTTGATGATTTTGAGTGTTTGCTGTTTGAAGCGTTTTCAACTGCTCAAAAAAATGCCAAATGGAGCGGTTTTCAAACCTCTAAAAACTATTTTTGTTGGAACAGCCGTTTTCAGCATGTCAAACACTATAATTAATCACGTGTTAAAACCCAAACTGTGAATGAAGATGTGTTCATGTCCACTAGAGAGGATGTATTGCTTGAAGAAGTGTCCAGGTGTTCACTTTACCTTGGCTAAATGCTGCAGAGTCCCTTTGACAAAACTCAATTTTTGCAGGATATCCTAGATGTCTTCAACGTAATTACAATATACATCAACATACCCATACCTGCCAACAAATGCATGCAGTATTCAAAACAGAAATGCAGCATACCCTTCTTCATAAGTGCAATCTTCCTTTGGAGCAACGCAGTGTGTTTTTGCAGAACAATATCCCTATGAAATATCAAATGTTCCTTTAAAAGATACACCATGCCCTTTGGAGGAGTACAGTGTGCATTTAACAAAATTTCCTTTGAAAGGGGTCCTCAAGGTGAAAGGGGTCCTGGCCTAGAAGCCTCCAAGATTAATTTCGACCGAGTTTTTGCCTTTGTATGAAAAACTCGGTCGAAATTAATCTTGGGGGCTTCGCGCGCATAAGGAACATTCTTGGCCAGGACCTCTTTCACCTTGGGGGGCCCCTTTCAAAGGAAATCTTGTTATTTCCACATGTCTAACCTTCCTTTCAAAGGAGCAGTATCCCTTTTAGAAAAGCCAATATTGCCGCACAATATGCAGTATTTTTGACATAGAGCATCCCTTTCAAAAGTGCAATATGTTTTGAAATGTGAGATTTTTTCAGAATGTTTTTTCGCTCCTTACAACAGAGCATTGTCCTTTGTGGCAACACAATCTTCCTTTGAAAAAGCAGCATCCGTGAAAACCTGGATTACTGTTCATTGATATATGTATCTAATCTACTCTAATCTAATCCAATTCAATCCAATCCAATCCAATCCAGAGATATTTCATCTATATAATCCAATCCAATCCAATCAAACCCAAACAAATCCAATCCAATCCAGTCCAATCCAATCCAATCATATCCAATCCAATCCAATCTATCTAACCTAGCCAAATCAAATCTAATCCAATCCTATCCAATTCAATCCAATCCAATCAAATCCAATCTATCTAATCTAATCTAATCCAATCTAATCCAAGCCAATCCAATCCAATCTAATCTAATGTAATCTAATCTAATCTAATTCCAATCCAACCC